TATCTACATGTATAATTCGTACGTAGTCTCGCTCTGTGCAGTCAGCAAAATAGCTCTATACAGAGTTTAAGAGTATTGCATGAATGTACGGTAAACCGTTAACTTAATCATTTGCCGGTGGTTCTCTGACCAGTTAAAGAGCTGCAATCCTCATATCATCAGTACCGTTGCCAAATAATCACCAATTGCCAATAATAAATTGCCAATAATCAATGTCGTTTAAAGTTAGCCTGAAAAGAATTTGACGACCTAAATGGAAGTATATGCATTCACTTGTCTTTATATACTACACGCATCGACGTTTTTCCATCATATGTGTTATTCAATTACCTCTTTGTCTGTATATTCGCAATTGAATGTAGCATCTAAGTTTATATAATCCACTTCAAAAGAGTGAAAACCACTCGAACTAGACTGAAAACCACTCTAAAGGAATGAAAATCACTCAAAAAGAGGATGCATAAAACGGACAACTCGTTTTAGAATGATTTTCACGTTTTGTAGAGTGGATGTCTCTGTTGAAGAGTGGTTTTTATAACAAACTCACTTATTCTAAGAGTGAGTTTTTTTTCTTTTGTAGAGAGTACTGAAACGGACTTTCATTTTGCCTCTTTACCCCTTAACCTTTTCCCTTTTTAACACTTTGACTGCAGAACTACCTTACAAAATATGGCTTCTTACCCAAGCCCGACCCCGTAGCGGGCAGCCTCCGGTCGCAGGCGGAATTCTACGAGGGAATCCGGGCGTTTCAAACTTTCTATGGGTTACCAGTGACGGGGACATTTGACACCCGTACGGCGCAGCTGATGGCCTTGCCGCGTTGTGGCTTACCTGATATCATGCGAGACGACGACGAAGACGGAAGAAGAAAACGACGATACGTTCACACAGGAGCCCATTGGGACAAACAAGACGTAACTTACAGGTTGGATGGTTACACATTGACTATTAAACGATGTAGTCAGTAGTCCATTAAACGGGGGGGGAGTCAAAATCGATTTCGGGGGAGGGGGTAATTTTTTTCGGGGGATTGACATTTCTTATAAGTATAAATTTTATGGTTTTCTTAGAGATGAGGGGTCTTGTTTTCAAGTTTGTGGAGGAAAGGATATGAGATATAAAAAGGAGAACGAAAAATTTAAATTTTAATTCAACCTCTTCAGATTTAATATCTTGAATATATAATCCAGAGCCTCAGTTATTTTTTATGAAAGGTTTATTTTTACGGAGGCGAGTTTTCTTAAGGAAAGGGCGGTCCTCCTTGAATCTATAATTCTCCAAAGAAGTTGCTTTTTTCATAACTATTACTGAACTGATGTTTTTGTGTCGTTAAGGCTTTCTAGTGTTTTACAAAGCAACATTTAATTGCTATGTCATGCTTAAGAAGTTTTTTATTGTGAAGTTTACTTTGTTCATGAAATACAATTTCTTATCTTTTGAGTACGTCATTTGACTTTTCTACCTTAGAATAACGAACTATTCACCAGACTTAACGAGATCGGAAACAGATGAAGCTATCGCGAGCGCCTTACAACTTTGGGGTGACGTCATACCATTAAACTTCCGAAAGCTGGAAATAGGCACAGCAGATATTGAAATCAGGTTAGTATTGGCGCCAGTCCAGGAGAAATTGTCCGGCGCAAACTAGCGTCTGCACATTAGTTAGCTGTCTGTTTCGGCTCCATAATGACGGCTTTCCAAAGTGCCCACACCTAGCGTCCATCCTGTTAATCATGAGTGGACACTATTTCTTGCCAGACACTTTTTGGTTTAACTCCAAAATGAGATAAATCAAAAGAATTAACTCTTACTCATTAATTAGATTATCTCTGTGTTTTCAATAACCATATTTCTGCTTGCATCACAATCACCACAATATAACGATATCGCTCTTGTCTGGTCCTTAAGTTATGAGCAAAAAATGCACACAATTTTTTTTCAGCAGTATTTGTTTTTTGCCCGCACTGTAGTGACCCAAGTTTGTAGTGACCTGCCTTCTTAAGAGTGTCTGTGAAGGATAATTGATATGAAAAAAAAGATGTAGTTTGCGTGTCTTGCAGTGACTGGGCAATTCCATTCAGAAAACTGTCTGTGAGAAATTGCATTAAGTAGGCAAATCGTTCGATGAATAAGCAGAATGTGGTTTGAGGCTGCTTTCTGTCGAACATGTTGTTTACATTGTTGCATGTTAATAATGAAAGACAATTTACATGGCATTTGTATTGCAGTATTTTTCACCGCATTGTCCTATGACGCCATGGCAATGGTCTGACGTAACGAAAAACTGCTATATTGTTTAAAATACAAATTAAATTGACGCAATGGAAGAAAAAGTTGAACGAACTTATACTCCAACATGCTGTCCAAGCCGCACCACTTCACTGAAAGTCGTTTCGCTGTTCTGCCGCAAGTTCATTTTCTTGGGGCTTCCTTGATAGCGTCGAAAAATGTGACACCTAGGATTAGCTTAGACTCTGGAAGGAGCCCGATAACATGCCTAATGTGAGACCCTAATTTCCTGACAGCTTTGCTAGGGGACTGCACCGGGACGATTACCCGTTTGACGGGCCAGGAGGCACCCTGGCACACGCGTTCTTCCCCGGGGACGATCTTGGAGGTGATGCACACTTTGACGATGACGAGCGGTTCACAGTCAAGGCCTATGAAGGTATCGGTGTGTCTCTATTTGATGGTTAATTACCAGGCTTAAATGAAGTCACCGCCACTAAGAAACATGCCTGATCTAAATCTGCAACATGGGGGAGTAAACAAGTGAACTATGTGGTACTCGCGACTGGTGGCCTTTGTATTGAGCATGCAAAGAATTCACGTAGGGCCTACAGCCAATGCACTCCTTCAAGTAAACTTTCCATTGTAAAAGGGGAACTAAATCGTGAAATTTTTTATTCGCGAGCAGGGCATTGCGCATTTAACCTTTGGTAATTTTTAAATTGAAAGTATTTTACTCTGTTTAAGAACAGATTTCAGCTCTGTTTACGAGATTTGCTCGGTGCATATTTTTTTTATTTATTTGGGATATGCATTTTACATTAATGAATACAGTTAATGTTAATGTACATACATTTAGGTATAAAAACGAAAAATTACAATTTGGCCTTGAGTATTATGTGGCTATTGACTAAAAATCTCGATTTCGACGTTCTAAGTATCCTTGGATTTCGTAAGCCGTCATTACGAGCTTGTTTGTAATGAAGCCCAATCCTTTCTTATAGGCACCAATCTCTTCATTGTTGCCGCCCACGAGTTCGGCCATAGCCTGGGCTTAGGCCATTCGTCGGACCTGTCGTCGCTGATGGCGCCCTTCTACCAGGGGTACAAACCGAACTACGTGCTTCCCTATGATGATCACGTGGGAGCGCAAAGTCTTTACGGTATGCCGATGATATGGCTATGTCTAAATTTATTGGCTACGGCTGGCACAGACACACAAGTCAATGGTGAAAGACAACAGCTGTTAGCCAGTGGCTTTCCAATGGTGCAGGTGTAATTGCTAACCGTGTGTTTGGGTAATTTATGCTAACTGGGACCATCTGACTGACCCAACTGACACTTTGAATTGGTAATGGGTGATTACAAAAACAGAATCATAGATCAAATTTTACAAATTCATGTAATATTAGAATGTCTTAAAAAATCTACTGGGAAAGAAGAATTTAAGGAAGGATATTTGTTTTTAAATGTTCTTGGCTCTAGATTGAATGCTCTGATCTGTACAGGAATTTTATCGTGTTATGCCCTAGTAGTAGTAGTAGCTGTCGATGAACCATAACAAGCTATTTAGGTCACCAAGAAATGGGATTTCTCGGACTAAATATGTTTGAAATTTAAATTTTATTTCCCTATTAATTCCTGCCATGCTGTAAAATAAGGACTGATTTGTGTATTTTGGGCAGACTGTTTTCCAAGGATCCTACTCGTCTGGTTCAAACTCACTGTGGAAGTGAGAGGGATATAATTATTGTATTATAATTTTTCAGTTGTGTTGAAACATGTAAAATGCAATATGTCGTGGTGGAAATCTTTAGAGAAGGAGGTTGGGAAGGCCATTAAAATAAACAGGTGGATTTTTTTTTGACTGGCGCTTGATTATCAAGGTGATTGATGTTCCTAATATCCAGTGGAGCGAAATTGGCATGTGGCCCCACCGGAGGAAATCAGTCAGGAAAATCGATGTGAAATTTTGACTTTCAGAAATGTATTGTCGTTTTTTTAAGGTGTGACGCAGCTTATTAGACCAAAATTTCAATCACTTGGCTTTGTATGAATTATAAAAACATTAGGACTGATGATCCTGGCGTTAGTTGGTAATAAAAAGTATTGTCTGGCACAGGTAGAAGTGGAACAGTATTTTTAGATCTATGTATTCCAAAAGACTGCCATCTAAACTCCTTCTATTGATGTTGATGTTTGAAGCTAATTTAATGTGTTATTTCCAGGTTTCAGCAAGGCTCGCTAGTTCCCTTATGTAACACAGTGCACTGAGTCTAACATCCCAGGGCTCCCTTTTTTGATGGTCCTTAACTTTTGGGAAATACACCCCTTAAGTTTGAAGGTGTACTTCACTTATGTCTTTCAGTGTCAATTCCAATCTTACCATTTTACTGATTACAGGTGCTCGACCCGGATCTGTTCCGTCCCGTGGGGGAAACACAGGGGGTGGGGCACCGGGACCCCCAGACCGGGCAAATCCGACCTCAGAGCCCGAAACAAACCCAAGTTGTAGGGGGTCCTACAATGCCATCGCTAAAATACGAGGAGAGCTAATGCTGTTTAAGGTATCCGTTGTCTCAATGGATCAGCTGGTCATCTGCCTTGAGCAGAAGCACCCCCTCATCGGTGGAAATGAGCCATGTTAGTGGGAAGTGTTCATTTTATTGGTAGCGATACAACAGCAACGAGCGCATTTCACAGCCGTTTGTGAACCACTAAAGTGCAGTTCCGGTCAAAGAGGCCCCCGTTGCTAGGATAATTGTGCCCTCTCTTGATCTCGCTCGGAGCAGATAATGGGAAACATGCATCCATTATTATTTCTATGGTCTAAGACATCTTGGTAATGTTCGACAGTGGTAAGGAATCAGTCCTGAGCTTAAAATGGATTTGATCCTCTAAATAAAGGTTAAAATGAACAGTAACAGTTCCAATTAATTCCCGCCAAAACCTATACGCCCCGAGTGGGACCAAAAGAGGGTGCAATTTTCCTCGTCACCCAGTTCTTCTTTGGCCCGTTCACAAACAACTATGAAATGCACACGTTACAGTCGCGTCGCTACCAAGAAAATGAGCTCTCTCCACCAGCTTGGCTCTTTTCAACCAATGAGAGGGTGCTCAAAGTGGATTCATTTTTTCCTCTCAATCAAGGTCTGTCCCTGGTGTATGCCGTGTGAAGCAAAATACAGCTGGGGAATTGCATGTTTGAAACATCACAGGAAATATGAGATATTTCCTTTGACTAATCCACCTGTGAAGAAGAAGTGGATTCAATGCCAAGTTTATGTGACTAATAAACCATGATTTCTTTGCCAAACAGATACAAAATATCCCAGAATATCCTTTTATATCCTTATGTAGGCTTAAGGAATTCCTGTAGGAAATGTTAAACTTGTTAAAGACCTTCACATTCGTGAGGCAGTGGTTTGGCCCTGTTTTGGTCCAGGAAATAGTTAACGTTACTTGCTATTTGTATGTAGTTGTTGCACATAACTAACAGTCGATTTATGGCTCACAAGGGAGATGGGTTATCGATTATTGGGTGCTAACAGTGCATGTTCTGTCCCGAGGGCTTATCTAATTTTGGATGACGACGAACATTAATAAAAAGGAAACACTGTTTTCACTCATCAGTTATCGAGCGGAAAACCAGATTTATATCTTATACAAATAATAGTCAAGGCATCTCTGTTGCTCTTGGATGTGGAAATCTTACAGTTTTTATATGAGCGTCACTTGGATAGTTTTCTGTTCTTCAGAATTTGAATTTGTATAAGGTTTATATAAGTCGTTCAGAAATAGGTTTTTTTTTTGCAATCACTGGGTAAGACGCACAAGAAGGGTCAAAATTCGAATGTGCATTTAAAATTCATTTATTCCGAGTTTGACATATAATGTCCTCCTAAATGATGTTAGAGAAAGATCTATGAGTTTGGGTATCGCTGAAATTACATAGTTCCTCTCTCCAATCTTTCCATTTTTCAAATAAAAATTACATCCATGTGGTTTGCATTACGTCTCATTCATAAAATGGATGTGATGTAAAGTTTTCAATGGAGACAATTCTTCCCAAACAGGGCAAGACTTTTTGGCGGATGCTCGAGAAGGGACATCCACTGGAGGGCTATCCAATCGACACGGACAGATTCTGGGATCAGCTGCCGACTAAAGTTGACGCCGCTTACGAAAGGATTGACAGCAAGATTCTCTTTTTCAAAGGTGAGTTATATAATCCTTTTCAAAGTGTAATCAAGAAGACCATTGAGGCCTACCAGAAACAAATCCAAAGACATTTTTCGCTGTCATTTTCGCAATTAACACTGACACTGGGAACAAGTTTCAAGTGGTGATTGTATCAAAATATCTTGCTTAGGAAATTATTGTGCTGAGCAAGAATTATTTGAGATCCAGTCAAAACTTGTGTACCTTACATAACATTACTCAGTTTGAAAAAGTATTCTGGTAAGCAGAAATAATGCTCAAATATAAAAAGCCTTTGCAATTTAATGTCAATGTACATCGTGAAAGATATATATACACATGTATTCCTACGTGTCTTTCACTCAATTTTAATGGCAAATGGATAAAATTAATTATCCCCAATTCATTCATTTGAAGGTCCTAATCCTTAGCATCCACCGTTAAGACATTGTATTTTCGGCTTCCTCCTGCTAAATTACAATGGCGCCTCGAGGAATTTGGTTTGCTTACCTGTGCGGTTACTCCCTGGTCTTTTCCCTGGGTATCAAATCTGTGAAACACAGCAACTCAACCACTTCCTAGAGCACCTTACCCGCAAACTTCCTTAAAATGTCAATTTAGAAAACATTCTTGGAGCTAATTTCAAGGAGCCACTCGTCACATAGCGAAAACAGGATACCAGCCAAATCTGTCATCTGCTGTAACTGTTTTGCTTGAGACTGGTTCCCGTTGGCTCTTGCTTAGTATGTTAAGTTGCCAAATTTGCCAGGTAAAAAGTGTAAAGTTCTGCCAAAGTCGAAAAATCTGTGACTAAGCCACAAATTTGGGACTTACTTTTGTGTTACCAAACCTGTCACAAACCTAATGTTGTAATCGAGACCTCTTGTGACCGTCACAAGATTCTGATCCATTCTGATATCAAGTCACAAGCTATATTCTAACCCCGCTAACGTCCGTTATTACGAGATTCTGCAAGATTGTGCAGTAATTACCCAGTTACTTGTGGCTGGTCATGTTTGTGATCTCGAGACTAGTCTTGTGAATGTTCTTGTGACTGGTCTTTTGTCTTGTCATGTGGTGATCCCGACTACAACACTGACAAACCCCATTCACTTCGGTTTGTGTCACAATAATGGTTGCAATTTATTTCTACTCATCATGCATTAAGGTTCCTAAAAAGTTAAAGTTTTACCAGTGAAACCTTTGCTAAACTGCCTGGACAACATCAAATTCTTGTGGTTCAGATTAAGTAAATTGTCTTAAAACTGCAGTTACCACAAACTTCTATCAACACTATTTTTATCATATCAAACTTTCCAGGGGCGAGTTACTGGGAGTACTCAGGAACGACTCGTGATCCCTCCTTCCCTCGGCCTATCAGGGAGCTTGGTCTCCCCAATGACATTGATGCTGCTCTACCCTGGGGAGAAACTGGTAGGTGGACCTGTCACAATACTTTAATCACTATTGGGCCTGAATTCTTGTGAGGTGTAGAGAGAAGATTTACTGATGCAGCCCCTCAATTTAACAGCCTCGATGAACCTGTTTATAATTATCTGTTTCCTAGTGTTTGCTATTATACCCATGCACAATTTACGACCAATTGTTCCCTAGTGTACCTTTAATCTAACACTCTATAGAGGTATAACGACCAATCACAGCCTCCTGGACAACTATAAAAAAATTCCAAGATTCTGGAAAGACAGTGAATACCTCCAAAGGACAAGGGGTACCCTCTGTTGTATCTTTAATGTTGGCATTGTCAAGTGATACAATTCAGCGTTTAGGGCTCTTGAACTGAATTCTTGATTTCTATCCATTCTTTAAATTCTGGAGTAGCCGTCGATTAGATTTATCTCGTTTTACATTCCAGACTTTCCTAGTAAGTATTCTTGCTCAGAGAAAAAAAATATTAGCATTGTCCTTGAAAGAGGATGTTAAGATAAAGAACATTTTCTAAAATGTCAATTGAACACTCGATCATTAAGAAAGATCAACACTGTCTTCTAGACAGAGATTGGGCAACAAGGTCCAACGTAAGTGTTCACCAAAAAGGGGCTTCAAAATCGCACCTCACAGGGCATGCCTGACATATTATTTTGCTACAGGCAAGACCTACTTCTTCAAGGGAGATCAGTACTGGCGGTATGATGAGATGGAGCGGCAGGTAGACATGGGTTATCCCAAGAGTGTGAGAGAGAAGTGGGATACTGCCGTGCCCACCAACATGGACACCGCCTTCAGATTTGTCGACGGTGCGTATAACAGGTTTTTTTATAGAATCAATGAATATTTACCTTTGGAGGGGCTTCAAATTGAAGAGCTGAATGCAGGAGCGTCCCGTCTCCATGTCTTTATCAAGCGGCGGTACTCAGGTGCCAAAGTTCCCAAAAGTTACTATTTTTGATTTAAGTCAAGGATGGAACTGAAAAAAGAACGTCTGTGCTCCGGTTTCTTTATCTTCCAAATAGGAGTATAACACTGCTTATCGTTATATAAAAGTGTTCTTTGCAGGAAAAGCATTTAACTTGTAAGCATTTTTCATAGTAGGGACTTTCTTGAACCAATTGTCAAGAGCACCTTGTGTTGCTGCATCAGCAATATTAAAATAAGTCGATTGAAGAAGTGCTTTACTTGAAGAATATCGTTGAACTTTACTTCATAAAGCAGAAACTGGCACGTGGTACACCTACTTTCTGAGAAATAAGAAGTACTGGCAATTTGATGAGAGCCGTGGCAAGGTAGACAAGGGATTTCCCAGGTCCTTCGACGTGGACTGGATGGGTTGCCCGGAGCCAGCAAGTAATCTCGTTGAAGATTCCACCAGCAGAGCAGACGTGGTTGTGGAGCCGCCCAGGACCGAGAAAATGATAGGCTCCGGTGCGGATTCCGCCCGGGGATTGTCTTACCTGACTCACATTTCCTTGCTTGTCCTATGTTCATGGATGCTGACGGGATGACGACTATCTTGTCATTAGAGACTTTTTTCTGTGTGACTCGTACAACGAAACGTGTGTTATAAAATTGCTTATTAACCATTTAAATGCTGCAAAATCTGTATTTGATGTGTGTTTAGGAATACATATATACCTGAAGTCAGGACACAGCAAGCTGAAAATGTTTGACTTCGTTTATTCTAAAAAGGGCAGACTAGTTTGATTAATAAGTGCATCTAGGCTATTTGGTTGTTCCTGGATATTATGCTGTGCTGGGGGGAGTCAAATTCTGTGAAGTTCAATATTCAGCGATAGTTAGAGGCGTTGTATCGTTTTGAAGGCGTCTTAACGATTATTTCTTAGGATTTGCTTCTTACAGAATCTTTTAACTGTGGAAAAATGAAATTCAATCTGATTAGTAAACGGGGGGCTAAAGGGCCTCTTCATTTCTGAACAAAGAGCAATTTAAAGTCTCTTTAAAAGAAACTTAAAATGATGATGTAACATGCTCAAAGTAGGCCTATTAGTCGAAACTGCTCTGTCCTGTTGTGGCTGCATGATTGAAGTATTTGGTGTATTTATAACAATACGGCCGTTTCACAGTAGGGCGCCTCCAAGAGTTTGCAATGCGTTGGCCAATCACAACGCTCGAAATTTGTCGACCTTTTCTAAACGCGCTTTGGGTACAACTTTCGTGCATTGTGATTGGCCAACGCGTTGCAAACTCTTGGTGGCGCACTATTGTGAAACGGCCGTATTGGTTTCCATCACTGTGGTGCTATTTAATAGCAGGTATTCAGCTTTCGGTATTCACGAAGTACTTACGAAGTTAAATCGTGTATCTAACACTCGATGGTGACAGTGAATGTAATCAGGGTCAAAACACACCTCTATACTCGATGCAGTGTGCGTTTTCTGAAATAGCAGTTCTACTTTTCTGTTATCCGCCAGCAAATATGTGTTCTCTTTGATGTCGTTTGAGATTGGAATCTGCTTTGCATTCATGGGACGGCGGGGCTTGAAATAATTAAAAGCTTTTCCGTGCCTTTTCGTGTCTTGTAACGTTTGATTATGGCATTGATGTGCATCAATAATTAAGCAACGGATGGCACACACAATACATTCGGAAAGGTATGTCTGTGCTGCCAGAAGTGAATCGCCGAGTTTGCTGTCGGTTTGTTGTACGTCATCGATGACATGTTTAATGCTTTGGTCTGAATACTGTGTACATTCGTTTGTGAAACTGTCAAACTATTGCCTGTGATAATTGAGAGTAACAGCTTTCATGTAACTTTTCTTGTCTGTTATACGCCATAGATTAACCACGCATGCACAAAAACTACACGAAGTCTCTCTTTTGAGTAGAGATCTCTTTATGCCCATTACAAAACTACACTTCAATCCAAATTAGGTTAAAGATACCGAGGCTTAGATACAGTATTCCCAGTGTCGCAACCATTTCAATCATCTGACCTCACGGCCCGATAAAACTAGACTCCAGTTTCATTCTGTGTATTATAGATGTACATAATGACATATTAAGTATTTGAATTGGTTTATGCACAGTTTTGCTTTCTTTTTTCACATGAATAAAATGACAGTGTGATATAAGTAAGGGATGTGACATACAACAATTCAGAATAATTGTACATTAATAATTTTATGCATGGTATTTTTGTTATGTCAACGATGTTGATGTATGTGTTTGTAACACCACCATTGTCGACAAAGAACGATATGATTAAAATCTTGCATGTGACTAATGCACAGCCTGGGGCGTAGCGAAGGCGTTTCCCGGGGGGGGTATAGTCAATTTGCCGAATTTGGAAGCAGTCGCCAACCTCGTGTCGTGTACAATTCACAAGGTGCGAAAAATGGAAATTCGTGGTACGCTGCACGTCATGCTTCAGGGGAAATGCCGACGGCCAACGTATATCGTTTATGTACCAAGTCTGGACTCATTTGCCAACCGGAGCTATATTTGTCAACTGGAATTATTTATTGGGGGGTGGGTGTGCCGCACCCCACACCTCTGGTCGCTACGCCCCTAGTACACAGCAGGAATAAAAGCAAAGATAATTTCTTGAAACTAAGCTCCCTGTAAGGTACAAAACTTCCAAAACACTACCAAGGGTTGTGCTTTATATACAAATATGTTAGCGTCCCGAAAGTATTTAATTTAAATATTGTAACTAAAATATTTTTTTCACACAAATTGCGGGGCAGTTTGTGACAGTACTTTTAGTACAGTGCATTAAAAGAATGATTAATATAACCGTTTTTAAACCCTAGTTATTTGATAAGTTCACTGACGTCAAGGTTTAGGGAAACTGGGAACCCAAGAAGATCTTATTTTAAATTGCATTCTCTATCAGAGAGGGAATTCATTGTTATGTCGCTGTCACTGAGCTTTTTTTTTAACTTCTGAATTTACCAACCATAGCAACTCACGTTTTATCCTTTTTAATATAAATGTATTCCATAACTATGTGTAAAGCAAACCTTGGCCAACCCAAGCCTCATAACAGGCAAACTTTAATAATTTAAAGGAAATATACTGAAATGACGCTCTTTCCTGTAGAAAATTTAACAACTTAAGCTTAAATATAGGAACATTGTTGTCCCCAATCAATGACAAAATATCAAAAATGCTTGGGATGTTTACCACCTGCTGGTATAAAAGAGAATTATAATAATCCAATTCAAAAAAATCCGAGATATGTTTACGTCATTGTAAACTCTGAGCGGGCTCAAGCTGGCTTCGTGTAGTGCGACTAATTAGTCAAAATCGTTTCAATAAAAAAAGACAGAGACATGCTTTGAACAGCTATCCCTACCACTTTGACATCCTTCCTCCTGTGTCTATTTGTACTTGTCTCATGCACCTTTGAGTGGCTTAGATGCAGTGGCGAATCGGGGGGGGGGTGGAATTTGTTTCCAAAGTTCAAGTGGGACTAGATTCTTTTGTGTTGGTGCAACTGGCTTCACTGGTACTCAGTGCAACGGTATGTCGTCGGTGCCAGGTGTTACTTTGAATTGAAAGAACCAGCCTTTTAAAATAGTACAACCATCTGCCGGGAGGGGGGGTAAGAATTATTTTACGGCTGATACACATTTTACAGTCAGTGAAAATTTGTCCCTCACTACTGGTAAACTTTGGACTAACGTATGGAAAGGGAATGGAGTTAAAGAAACATATACACCTTTTTCCAGTAATGTCAAGATCGTACTAGTTTCTTTTGCTACCTCCATGGCTAGACCTGTGTTGTGATGGTAATGAGTGCATAGTGTTGTGATGGTAATCTACCTATTCAAGATAAGTCAAGCATGCAGCGTTTGCACATGCGCTTGCACGTGGTTGAAGCTGCCCATAGGAATATATGCAATCACCGTGGCCAAGGCGGTCCACACGTGGTGGTGTTGTTTACATTTAGTCACGTGGGTGGAAAGATCTACAAGAAGAAGCCCTCCAACTTAAAACCAAGGAGACCCGAGGCAAAAGAGATTGACCGACCCTTATTCATCAGACGTACTAAATGCCGGTGATGCCAGCGCCGATGACCAATCGATGATCGAGCAGCTAAAGAGGGTAAAAGAAAAATTGGAAGTTTTGTTTAGTTTCAAAAGGAAGAAAATGAACCACAGATGGAAATAAAGGCGTTCTTACCTGTTCTTTTGCGCTTCTAACATGACTGTTCATAAAACTTTCCAAATCTACACGTCGCATGACATGAAGGCACCTGTGCTAGCCTGCACTACCGTCGGTCCTTGTTTTGTATTTTTAGCACAATTTTACACGTCTCTTCCAAATCCCTCTTACTTTAATAACCCTAACAGCCCTGAATCCTCCAATTTCAATACGATTTTGCACACACCCTAGGGGGTTAGGGTTAAGGAATTAGGATTGATCCGTAGTTTTCACGAAATACATATCGAAAACAAGATCCTAATCAAAATAATTGGCACAATACCCTTTCCCCCAATGCCAATATCAACACCGAGATCTGAGAAATGCGAGTACTGTGCGCCTCAGACATTTCTACCCAATATACTGTATAAGACCCCTAGACCATGGTCATCGTATGTTTAACCTACATATACATGTACAAGCAGCTCATGTTAGCATCTAAACACTTAGGGTAAAGAGGACCAAATCATTTGTCCTCCGGCATGTTCCGCCTGTGTACTTTGTTGCAAACAAAGAGACCAAAGTTATGGTAATGAATAAGTAAAGAAATGATTCTAAAAACCTCAAGGTAAGTGCAAATACATTTTCAGTACATGATACAAATATTAGAAGTTCCTTTCAGTCATTCATCCAAGTAAATGAAACACAACATACCTGTAATGAAACAGTGGAGTCAATGTTACTCTCTCTCAAAGCATGGAGTCAGAATGACTTAGAGAGCAAAGGCTCCCTGCACCACATGGCCACAGTGTTCTGCCTGCACAGGAAGTGTTACCTAACTGCTAGCTGGAACCTCTCTGCCTGTTTCCTGGCGCACCCCGCAGCTAGGCACCAAACAGCAGCAGACAGTACACGTACTTACACCAACAAAATTAGGGGGGGTCGAATAAACAATGCAAAACTCTGGCTCTAACAAACAGTGAACCCTAACCATCTGTCCATGGCCACTACACATGTAACTAACGAATCTTCTACACACTTTTATTGTACTTCTTGACATCAGCTTCTCGTTCGCTTCTTGTTTTCAGAAGCCTTTCACTTCTTCACCCATGCATTCCATCTATGGTGCTGGAATTCCAGCCAACAGTTGTATGTTGCCCAGCATGCATTGTAGCCACACTCTTGGGGAATCCCCAGTCCCTATAGGGGGTCAGCTTCCCCCTTGGCTCCATAGCCAGACTCTTCGGGGGGGGGATGAGGGTAGAAGGGGCGGAGTTCCCACAGGTACTTGTCCCCAGCCTACCCCAACCCCGTCCCGATCCCCCGTGGCTGCGCCATTGGATATAATTATTGAAAGGATTCTAAACTAGCTCCCGACAGTGGGCGTGCGCCAACATTTTGCTCCGACGATGCCTTCCGATGTTCTTCCATGGGACGCCCAGTGTGGACAGGTATTGAGAACGGCGGTTTTTCGGCCACTGACGTCAGGAGTGGGACCAGGTCCTTATGCTCTGTGCGCCGCTCACAGTACTCCGCAACCTTCTTAATCTCTGCCAGGTACTCTGACTTCAATTTGCTGATGGTGTGTTTTTCCAGGCTGCTTCTGCCGTACTTGATCTGGGCTGTTTTCAATGCGAGCACCATTTCATCCAAGAAAGGCCCACCGTCACTGAGACTGGACTCGAGCCGAAGGCGATGTAAATACGCTTTCAGTAATTCAGTGAAGTTTCCGCTGTGTGCGTCCCTTTTTGGCTCAAGTTCGACTGCCTTTTTAAAGCATTGTATTGTCTCTGGAAGATCTCCCATGTCGAAGAGAATATGCCCAAACACAAGATGCACCTCTCGACGATTCTCCCCGTTTTGACAGTCTAATGCCTTCCGTGAATACAGTATTGCCTTTTCTAAGTCCTGCTTAGTGACGTTGTCTTTATTCTGCATCTCAGGATGCTGAGTACGCAGGTGATAAATTTCGCTTAAGTACGAGAAATCCCAAGGTGTCTCGCGCATGGCGAGAGAGGTCTCAAGGTCTTGTTTGGCATCTTCCAAATGTCTTATAGCTGGATGGTGGCTGTACTTAGAATTCTTCTCAAACTCGGTCCTATAAAATCTGTAGTTATCTAAAGTTATCCTTCCTCGCGTCGAAAATGCATAGAAATTGTATTTAGAGCTGTCTAAATGAATTGACCGTTGGAGCATCTCCTTGGCTCTCTTAGTGCCCTCCGCTCGCTTGTGCATCTTGTTCAAAGAGTGAACGAAATTGGCATAACGTGCCCACATCTTTGGACTATCAGGCGCAATCTCTGCGGCGTTCTTCATGCACATCTCGGGATTCTGTCTGTGTTCTTGCAATTCATCCCGAAATTGAAACCCCTTCAAATCCCTCTTAACTTTAGTTGCCCGTATGAGGTCAGCCAAGTGACGCCAGCTCTCCCACTTGAATTCGGGGTCCCCAGGAACGCTCTGGGTGACTTCAAAGAACAAGTTCACAGCGGATTCCAGGTTGGACGCAGCCTTGGCGTATTCTCCGTTGCTGACGCAGAAATCAACTATTTTATGAGCGTTTTTAGCCTTGCAAAACTTCCAGTTATCTCTCTCCAGGGTGTCAACTAGATCACCGCCAAGTGTGAATGCATCATCGTAAAGATAATTTGATTGGTCGTACCTAATTTCACCAGGTCTATCGATATGGATGTCACATGCAAATGCATACGCATGCTCAGCAAGGCAACGAGCTTTGCGATAACGGCGCTGTCTGACTTCTTCTGGCGGTAACTCACCAACTTGCAACAAGTCATCAAGTTTATCCTGATGACGCTTTGCATCAGCAGTTCGAGTCAGGTGCTTATAAACATCTCGCTTATTTGCCAAGGCATTAAGATTGTTTTTATCCTTGGAAAGAACAGCTTCAAAATAACCAAGGGCACCCTCGTAATCTTTTATTCTGAAAGACAAGACTCCCATGACGTTCTGAATAGCCAACTCCTCTGGACGGTCACGTCTTGCCCTCAGGTCGTCTTGTAACTCAGTGAGTTTTGTAGTGAAAAGATTCTTGTCAATGTTGGACTCTGTGTTGGATGGCAAAGGTAGATCAAAATGACCTGGTACCACAGCTCTGTCTTCACTCCCTTCCATTTTTACCGCGTCACAGGTTTGGGCAACTGGCTGTGGTACGGCGGTGTCAACTGAAGCAGTCTAATCCGGACTCGACCCTAGGAAGAAATATCAAAACGTTGAAGGTTTTCGCTGTCGACGTCTTGTTAATGAGAACATTCACTCAATTTGACATGAACTCGGACCGCATGGAAAATCTGTTGTGACAGGGATGGTCCGCAAAGGCGACATTATCGCCTCTACTTCCGCTAAAGTTTACAGAAATTCTGACCCATCTTCACTAAAACTGACAGCAAAAAGTACATGTTAAAAGCATTTTCAAGATTGATGCTGATTTTTGTGGGTAGGAAAAGGTTTTGTCATGTCTTTTGATAACATACAACACAGGGAACAAATTCTTTGAAAATTGAAATAGGTGAAATAGAGAGCTTTGCATCATTTGCAGAGACCATGCAACACATGCGCTGTATCGACACCGTTGGAGTGACTTTGTTCTTTTGGAACTTGCGCAAAGAAACGAAATAAAACAAATGTTCTTCACCCTTATTTATGCCTGACATAAGGCCAGACAAACAAATCGTATTTTCAAGCGAACTCTTGTACTAGATCATCCAATAGATAAATAAAAAAATACAAGTTGACTTATTCATGCTTGAAGTTTTGATTTCGGCGAGGGATGATTGTAGCGGATCAATATTCAAATTATTTACACATTTATCAATCATTTGTATATCCTCCATACAACAAGATATTCATTTCTACGGTATACAGGAATGAAAAACGAAGTCAGAGTGTTTTAGCTCTCAAGACTTACCACAAACGAATTTCGTTGCTCACAGTCTATGCTTGAATTTATGCATTCGAAGGGAAGTAGCTTCAACAGACAATGTCGCATTCGATTGTAACAGCAAACGTGACCTTTGCACATGATGTTTCGCATAGTGCAAAACATGAAACATTATTTGACGGCCGCTGTATAATGTGAATGTGATTAGTCATGGTTGGGATTTCCCACACTGAGAAACTGCTCGTGCACATATAGCTGTTAGGACCAGGACTTCACCCTACACTATGTTAGCCGCTGGTACAGACTGGTCTTTTGAGGCATTTCATTTGATGTTGATCAGTGACGTCATACACATGCTATCAAAATCAGTTGCTTAGTGGCATTAATGTGAGCTCACCGTCTCGCCAACAATCCTCTGCGGTTTTGCATTCGATTCAGCATACGATTAACCTTTCCCATCCGTGTTGATCGGCACAATAATTGACAAGAGGGAAACTGCGCAAAAAGGCCCTAAATATGTCCGCCGAGGTCATTAATAAAAGTTATACACTCAAAATATTCTATATTAGAGGGTCCTGAGAGCCATGGAACTGAGGAATTGGAGAAATAGGTACTGAACCCCTGGCCCGGACTTTGGCCTTCAAATTCTGAGCAATTTGGATGCAGTCGGGTCCGAAAATGGCACTATTTGGCCGTTTTGCAGAGGGATGGTTTTTCAAAATGGCTACTTTTCTGGGCAGTGACATTTTCTTCATTTTAGGGGTGGTCTGCTTCCGGTGAAAATTTCTCAAGAATTCATTGGTCAACCCTCCGAAAATTGAAAGGAAAATGAAAGGGGACATGTCGATCATCGTATTCCTGTGCAACCTGGACACCTGTGAGAGTTGTGAGTATTTTTAAAATAATTGCGAAGTGTGGGGATTTATCATTGCCGTCTATGGGAATTTATTTGTAGTGGTGCACCCCGCGGACTTGCTCCAATCTATCGCCATGTTTACACATATTCACTATTGTGTCGACTTCGTAGTTGTGGCGTCATTGGAAAAAATTACCTCTAAAATTGTGAACTGTTACTAATTCTTCGGTGTAATGAACATCCATTCTATGAAAAAAAACGACCTTTGCACTGTAACCTTTGTTCATTTGCGCAGTAGGAGAAACCCTTTCTGTGATTATTCAAGAACGACTCCCCACCCACTTTTCCTCCAAAAGTTTACTCCGTTTTGGGGTGACGCAGGGTACACACAGATCCTGGGTGGGGTTTGTGGAGGCGAAGGAAGAGGCAAAAGGGTTCATGACCCTTTACTTTGCGAACAGCGTTCCCTGTATCGCGATGCTGATTCGTGTGGTTCCAACTTCCGGTATTAATGTTGGTGACGATCACGGACACATGCGGTATATAGATGTAGTTCATCCATTGCAGTTGTGCGGTGCCCACAGGTAATGTCAATTGTCATGTCACGTATATGTGCCTTTAATTTAACCTTTTCAAGTTTTTCTCCTTTTTGGAGAATAGTAGTTATTGTCGCTGGTATGTGGATACAAAGACGGTGTCAGCGTGTAAAGGGGTTATTTTAGTAGGGTCCCCACCCCCCCTACAGCCGGTTAATGCATGCACTCCCCACATTGATTTAGCTATTGTCTTTACAATACAATTCTTTTTATGAAGCTCTTTAATAAAATACATGTATACTTCTGTGTACCATCAACCCTAATTTCAGTGTTAGTTTTGCCATCTTAAATTGTAATTTAGAGAGCGGGGGTCATGCTAATACAAAACTGGATGTACATGATCAACATATGATGTACATATTATGCTTAGATGCTGTAATCATTTCAGCACCAATATTTGTTTGAATTTTATTTCGCCATCTTAATTTTTAAGGTGTTATTTGTTGTTGGCTCGGATCATGACTGTAGACCAGTAAACGAAGTTCTCTCAAAAATATTCCCAGTGAGTATATTTAAATTAGAAAATATGAGCAGGAAAACTCTGGAAAGTTTCTTCCTGGAATTTCACAGCAATGGCACCCTCGATGTCATGAAAATGGAAAATATTGAATATTCTGAAAAGCGCACATCTCAATTCAGTAGGCCCTAGATAAAATAGATGTCAAAGAACTTCCATACATCTGAGAGGAATAGAGAGCTGCACCGTTTCTGTTTCTATAAAAAAATAAAAGCATCGCATGAACAGACCTTAAATTGAATGAAATACAATATTATTTCCATACTTCATTGAAAACAATGCAACAGCATTGGGAATATGGGGTAATCCCGAGGGATGGGGGGTATATTCCTCCCACAAAATGTTTGACATAGGAGAAGTCTCTGACAGTGTGACTCTGTGAATCTTCTCGGAGTATAAAATCTTGATTATTATAGTATTTGGTCTTACAAGTACCTATGGCAGTGTCATAGATTTGAGTCTGAATGCACCCAGGCCTTTCAAAGCTTTCAAACCTTTCACAAGAAGAAATGCTTTGGACATGATTCTGCTCCCGTTTTTCTAAGACTAGAGCTGAAATGTTGAAACAACTTCCCAGGACAACGCATAAGTGGCATATTGCAAACCATAACGGGAGGGGAGCATGTCCCTGTGAATCCCTCATCGGGAGATTTGTGGGTGGTTGTGTGGGAAGGCAAAATAACGTTACTCATGAGACTTTTCAGTGTTTAATGGATAACTTGCTCTGTCTTTTGTAGATCAACTCTGTTTTGAATGTATGGAATTGTTTACATGCAGATTTTCAAACTTCGAAAAGAGGCCCACAGGGCATGTAATGCAATTTTAATATGCAACCCTTGAAAATGAAAACTTCAGTTTCAAGTTTCCTTTTCCTATTTTTGGTATTTTGACATCTTGCTTGCCATGCTACTGAATTTTCTATGTGTCATTTCGGGCAGAACACATAACTTTTCAGACCTACATCAATTTGTGACTACGAAAAAGATACTTATGGAATTTTGTATTTTACTGGCCTAAATTTCCTTCATTTTCAGAGATTCGTTATAGATAGTAATACACACCTTATACAATACAGGGTACTTTGGTACACGGAACCAGTGTCGACACTTCTCGAAGCTTGTTCGGATCCTTCGCAGCAGGACATGGTAACAGTATGGCCTGTTTGATTTCTTTGCAATAGATTTCTGCATCAAGTTGAATTGACGATCCCGTCCCAAAATCAGTATGGAAGGAAGTATTAAGCCAGGACTTTACCACTTACCACTGCCAATCAACCACCCATCCTTGGATAAAGATGCTATTAAGATGAAGCTGAATGATATTGAATCGGACTTGAGGACTCGAAAAGACCGAGCAGAAGAATTCGCCATTCTCAACATCATTGGGCTTCTGAATTTCCACCTCAAACGCTACAAAGACGCCGAGACAAATTTTCGCGCCATTCTCTCCAAGGATGGACGCAATCTCAACGCACTAGCTAACATACAATTTCTATTTAAGAAAGTTTACAGGACAGTAGAAGGTGAAAGATTTGAGAGAAAACTGAAGGAGTACCTAAGTGAATCTACAGAAGAAGCCATCAGGAACAAAGCAAGGTGCAGAGCGGAGCAGGCTTATGCTTATGCCTGCGATATGCACACAGATAACGCTGGCACTGAGCGATTCATCGAATCCAATGGCATTTTTCACACAGCTCTTGAAATTGGTGGAGATTGGATAGAGACAGCGGAAAAGGACATGTGGAAATTCTGCATGGCCAAAAATGCGCATAAGATCTTCGATAAGTTTTGCTTCGGAGAAAATCACTTGCAATCAAGAGACTACATGGACACAGCAGTAAACCACTTCTATGAAATAACGCAAAGAGATCCAGGGGATTCGGAGTACCAGTGCGAAAGCTGGCGCCATTTGGGAGACATTTTTCGTAAAATTAAGAACAGGAAGCACTGCACATCTTCCCATTTGCCGGACTGCCTGAAGAAATTTATCGAAGACCCGGAGGAGTGCATGAAAAAGGCACGAGACACTGCAACGTCAGACATTTCAAAGGCTAGGATTTTAGCTCGCTACGCAAACTTTGTATATTCCCTTCGACGGCACACCAACGAGGCACTGCGATTACTTGATGAGTCGATTAGGCTGGATGACAGTGACTATAACTTCTACGCTTTTAGCACGAGAGGAACAGTCCGACTGAAGTTCTTTAAATGGAAAATCCGAAGGTTTAAGGAGGACAGTAAACGACATTCCCAACCAGATCAAAGTGTGCTGAAACATGCATTACGTGATATGGAGAAGGCAACAGAAATCCGCAATGCTTCATGGGACCTGCTAAATATAGCTGAGGTTTACCACTTGTTGGCGGAGCACACGGATGAGTCAAACGAGACAAAGAGAGGGTACCTCGAGAGGGAATTTGGGTACCTCAAACAGGCTGAGGATTGTGAAGACGGAGGCAGGCAAGCACACGTGAAACGCTCACTCGGTCGCTGCCTGTTCGACTTGGGTCATTATCGCGAGGCAATTGAACGCTTTAACGAAGCTTTGGACTTGCAGCCTGCGACTTCTCAGTACACAGGATACTTCCATGAACTATTTCGCTGCTACCTCTGCTTACTGCGAAGCGAACCAAAGGTTGAATCCTCTTTGGACGAGATGGCCGAATCGTTGAGGCAGGCAATGGAGAAGTACGGAAGTAGCACCCTTCTCAAGTACTGCTGCGGCTCATGGCGAGCAGAATACAAACAAGAACTACAGATATTCGTTGATTATTGCAGAACAATTCCACACAATGAGGGTCTCTTGAAGCTGTTGATGGCAAACGAACCACCGTCCCCACTGAGTCCACCTCCTCGACAAGGAGGACTGCTGAAAGAGTCGTGGGAAAGCCCAGAACAACAAGCGGGTGATGGCGTGGCGAAGAAGGATGGAGATTCCGATAACTTGGGCCATCAGTCCCCTGACTCCTTGGGTGCATCCTCTCCAGCGTCTCCAGATCTAGCAGGTGCAGCTGCCTCACTAGTGAGCGGAATCAAAAGCATGACTATAGAGGACACGTCAGTCGGAGAAGCCCGAGAAAATATATCAAATAAAAATATCGAATATGACTTCTTCGTGGTGTATTCCAAGAGCAACGACAAATGGGTACACGAGGAATTGCTTCCCAAGATGGAGACTAGGAACCTGAAGGGGTGCACAGACCGCACAGATTCCTTAGCAGGTTCCCTCGTCATTGAGAGCGACCTCAACTTGATGAAGATCAGTGCTTGCATTTTACTTGTCATTACAGATGGTTTCGAGACAGAGTGTCAGTATTACATGCATCAGGCTCTTATGCTCAGAAAACGCTGTCATGCCATTTTCCCGATTCGCAGGGACCAATCTGCAGTGCCGGTGGAGCTGAGAGATGTCTTTTGTTGCTTTGATGCCACCAGTGACGTAATACGTTGGGATAAATTAGCTGCAGATATCAAGCGTCAGAAAGATACAGCCATGAGGGCTTTGCAGCGGTAACATTTTTAATAGAAGTTACTGGCAAAGATGTAAGACAATTGGACAATGTATTACATGCATCAGGCTCTAATGCTCAGAAAACCTGGTCATGCCATTTTCCCGATTCGTAGGGACCAATCTGCAGTGCCAGTGGAGCTGAGAGATGTCTTTTACCGCTTCGATGCTAGTTGTGAAAGAATACGTTGGGATAAATTAGCTCTAGAGATAAAGCACCAGAGAGATACAGCTGTTCGTGCTTTGCAGCGGTAACAATCCCCGTATGAGTTGTTTTTTTTTCCAGTGAAAGTCAATGATGAATATGCAAGAAAGTGCCATTGGGTGCGTAGCCACAATAAGCCTTTTGCGAGTTAACTTTGACCCAAATCTGGTACACTGAGTTCTTTAAATTCACGTGAACATAACAATTTGAATTCTCCTTACTAAAAACCACTGTTGCTATACCTCGTGATTTGGGGCAAGCTTTTGCTTAGTTACATAAGAGACGCCTTGCAGCAATACACTGTTCTCAATGGATAAGAAGGGCACAAAGGAACCAGTCCATTCCAGAGATGGTAGTCGCTATGCAAAAGCTTGCCCCAAATAAGATTTTATTCAAATTTAACTCGCAAATGGCTTATTGGTTTTCACGCATTGCTTATTGCTCGAACACTATACTTAAAGCTGTGACAGCACTCTGTTGGGCACTCCATGGCACTCCATATTAAACAGACTGTCATATGAATTGGCATAATTTGGTCACATAGTGCACGTCCATGCACCCAAGGGGCCTGTGAGTGACCAGAAGAGGATCCTTTGGCCTCTGTAGAAAAATACTTTCTTCTTTGAAGACTATATATTTTCACTTACATGGGCCCTCGAGGTACATAGAAATGTACTACTGACTTGCGCGTATATTGTGCATAGTAATACAGCTTAGCCATTGATATTGGTCAAAAGTTCGTCATAATGGCCGCTCTTTAAACGATTGCAAAAGCACCAACTCGGGGGCGGCACATACTACATTGATTGAAGAACATGAAGAAACTCTTACTCTGAAGGTGTATTATAAATATCGACTTGGCCATTCGTTAAACGTTCGTTTGCAACTGGCTCACAATGGATGCTGATGACCAGAGCCGAATTGTCACTCTAATGTAACTCTTTGAGAATACACGTAATAAATGACCATACCTTTGTCTTATCCAAACAACGAAGGACTTAAAACTGCTGAGACCAATCTGTAGGGGTTTATAAGTGTAGACAAATATTATACAGAAACTAAAATATGAAGTTTTATGAATAGAATGAATAGTTCGCTTTACACTTTGGAAGAATTTAATAACAAATTTAAGGCTGTACTTATTCTTGGCAATCGTTCCTTTTCTGGTTGATCAACCTGACTATTGTGTTTGCATGTAAATACCAACAGATAAAGGCAGATATTAAAGTAATATTTCTTCTTGAGGAGTTAGAGAGAAAAATTGGAAGGAATAAATTAGTTACAGTCTTAAAAAGTCAATTTTTTAAATCCTTTCTTAGTCTAAGTATAAACTGTCCACAACTGTACTTTATGGAAAGGAATAACTTTGGTCATATTTTTAACTGACTGCGTCGCCAGTTAGTTCCCAGGGTAACACGTCAGGGCTTGGATTAACACTGACAACCAATGTTTGATAGAAATTCTGAAATCCTCCAAAGATTGGAAATTCAAAAAAGCAGATTGGTCATGTTTTGACAACTTGTCAAAAGGTCTATAACAAAAGCGGTGTTCTTGGTGCAAGTCTGAATGTACACGAGTGGGGGTGCTTATACGGAGCTCTAGAAGTGCCAACGACTTGTTATGATCCGGACATGTTTTATCTCAGGATATAGTTATGACATCCTTGTCATTTTGCCATCAATGTCACCACTGATGTCGTCTGTCATTATTTCGCGAGTCATCGTGTCCGGGTCTTGAAAAATTCGATGGCACGTCTATAGCTCCATAGTACCAGAAACAGTTTTATGTGTATTGGCTTTGTTTGCCTCGTAGCCAATTTTGTTGGTCCATAGGATAAGTTTCTTCTGAAATCAAATTAAATCAAAGAGACTTTTGGCATTCTCTTTAATCCATCGTGGTACTAGTAAATTTGCTTCCTTTTAAAGTTCAGTACAAAGCAATCAGTACTTCTAAGACCTGCTTGAAATAACTATCCTGGTGCCACGGAAGTAGTGGAATAGTCTTTATTTTTTTTGAAGGGAATTAGCGTGACCTCAGTTGGCCACGCAGGATCCTGAATTGTCTTTGTACAACAGTTGAAAATTATTATGTTTTTGTTTATTGTTATCATTTTTTAAATTTAAATTTCTTTGTATAGAATCTATTGTCAGTTTTCAGTGTGCCGTTTCATGTAAGAATGACTGTGTGTACTCACTCTCATGTTTATTCCTAGGTCATCTGGTTCATGCTTACAATGCCACGGTGGTACTTGTGATTGTTTGTGTTGGGTTGGTGCCGTTTACAAGTATAGAATGGAATACCCCATTAAAAAGAAAGGCCTAACTCCACCACTTTGGCCTAGGAAAGTTGATTTCCTGTGCAACTCTTTAAAATATTCAGGTTTTCTTTTGAACACAAAACACGAAAATTTGTTGGAGTTGGGCCCTTCTTTCAATGAGGTATTCAATTGTGTTTGTATAGGTTTCAACTATTGTCCATCACTTTATCACATAGCACTTTTTCTTTTCTACTTCTTTGTTCTATATGTTGGAATTCCATTTCAACTAATCAAATTTTACCCTCCGTGCAAACTAGTGCATGACTGCTATATACCGGCCGATCTGTGCACGTGAATATAGTAAAAAGGCACATACGAGAAAGTTCGAATAAGGTCCATTGTGTCAACAACTGGTTGATTTTCTCTGATACAATAATATAACCTATGTACCAGGCAAAATCGACCAACTGTTGACGAATGGTTGTCGCGTAAAACCTGTCCTGAGATACACAATCCAATTTTTTTATGTATAGAGAGGGCGTTGGTTACATTACCTCGAATTGTACAGCCAGCAAATGCTGTAGTAGCCTGATCGTATCTGAGCATTCAAGAAATGACTTGACGAATCGTACCGTACCGAGACCATGCAGAGTTGGTTTAAGCTTTATGATTCATTAAAATGCAAACTTTTGAATTTAAAACAAACTCTGGCACACTGTTAAGGTTGAAACTTTACATACACTTGAACTAAAGTATCCCATTACAATTAAGACTGCCATTATTCAATTTTTTTTCTGTGATTGATCAACACATCTGTATATTAATAATCATGTGTAAATAAATGTTATAAGCATTATTTGGTAAATCAGCTGTCCCCCAAAATAGCAGTAAGGATTAGGTAAAGTGTAATACTAACAACACACACTTCCAGACAAGGTATGGGTCAAGGTTCCACCACAAGTTTATCAAGTAGAAACAAGGGATCTCCTCAGATCACTTTGTAGACACTCAGTTCCCGGGTTATATTGTACGGGCACGAGGTTGTATGTGTACATTTTTGTCGACAACTGAGGGATAATGGAAACTGACGGCGAGTTGGACGCCATTTTATATAGTTACGTCGGTGATGTTTATGATGCAAATTGTACATACTTCGCCTATATTATAAATCACTTGCGCTTTAACGTGAGTCTATCCTGCCTAACGTCTCAATCGACGGTTCGCGAGCTAATATTGATGCAATAAATGAAATCTGAGAAACTCTTGGTGTTGTTGCAAATCCATTTTCTCTACTAATTTTAGGCCTACCTTTTTACATTGAAGAAAATATGGAGGAATCTTCAGGAACTGATGGGGGGAGGCAACCCTTCCCCACTCTTGTACCAAAAAAACAAAAACAAAAACAAACAGAAAAACCCTTTTGGCTTGTTATAGTTGAGCTCTGAAGACAAATGACACTGCGTCCGATTTGGATGCTTCCATATTTATTTGAACAGATAAAAATCAGAGAAAACATGTTTTCCTAGAGGTGCTCTTTAAAATAGGATTTGGATCATGATCTATAAAGACATCATAATATGACGTATGCATTAGCTTTTGCCCTATCCCTCACCCCAACCTAGTAGGCTTGTTTGGCTGGAATGATACTGACCTGGGGGGATAGACTTGGAAACTCTATGAAAACCATAGAAGGCCCATCATGAAGCCCAGGTCGTCAAATGCAGTGTTTTCTGGCTGGAGTGTGTGTAGATTTAAGTTTAAAAATTGGTGATAAATGTCATATTTTTTCCCGAGCTGTCTGTATGGCCTTTTCAAAACACACGGTGCAATCGCTACAAACACGACAGGTAGGCCTTGGTGTAATGCAAAATTGTGATACACACTGTTCAGTTGGGATTTCCCATGTTGGGCCAAAACAGGCTTCCAACATCACCAAAAACATCAAGCAAGTCGGTAAACATGCATTGAGGGATGAATGGAAAAAGGTTTGATTACATATTAGACCATGACTGTGTGTCAAACCGTGACGTCATACACTGGTCGTTCATCTACGTTCGTTACAGATCAGCGTAGCTAATACATGTACAATCATCCTTCCTGGTAGGCAAACGGAAAATAAGAGAGTTGTTCCATTCACTGGCATTATAATTTCACGGTTTTTTTGTTTGTTTTTTTCATCCAGATCGTTGCACGGTAGGATTAAAAAATGGTCGACGTTGAGTGTTACGGAAATTTGTGTGTTGATTTAATTATTGGTCGGTGAAAATATTTCCCATTGCCCCACTTTCTAGGCGAGATTAACCGAAACGCTTCGGCAGATTCAACTTTTGAACTATAACCTTGTTTATGTCTGAAAACTGCGCAATAGGGGAAAACCCCTGGACAGTAGATTATCCAAGAACGATTCCCAACCCGGTTTTCTGCAAAATTCTAGCCTACTCCAGTTCCAGGGGACGCAGGCGATAGACGGAGGCAAGGGCATTCTCTGCAATCAGCAGACAGCTTCTGCCGCAATTTACTTTACTAGGATGCCTGATGTTGGCCATGTTGGTGAGGATGACACATAACCTTGTTCGTCAACTGCACCTTTACTAAGCTCAAAAGTAAGTCGGCAGGTCCCCTTCGTCAATTCAGCCAGTTTCCTGTATTCCTTTTCCGTGTTAATTAAAAAGTAGTATCAGTAGAAATGATACAAAGGTTTCACTGTAATTAAGTGTATGTATCGAGATCCCTCAGTATGGAACGACACTTAATAATTAACTTGAATAATACTTTATTCATTTATAAAGCGCAAATTTCATATAGATATGTTCAAATGCGCTGTACAATGGAGACATTAAGCGAGGAACAATGAATTCATTTAAACATGGTTGAGCCGATGGCATACAAGGGCGCCTCAGGCAGCCGCCAAACGACCCACATTTACCAACATTAGTAAAGAGGAGACAGTAAGAAGCAGTTACAGTTTTAGAGGTGGGAGGAAAACCCCAGAGGAATATTCTGGGTAAAACCCACGGAGTCAGGTAGGGACTGAAAACCCAATCCACAAGTAGACCGAGCTGGGAATCGAACTCAGACTGCAGAGGTGGAAGGCGAGGAAAGAACTACCTTGCCAACCCTACAACCCGGGGGGTGGTTTTGTGTGTGGACACTTCCTGAAATCCTTCCACTTGGCCCGTGTATACTCCCCAATCCATTTCATCATTCCAACGACAATTACACTTCCCTGGTTTAATGGAGCTGTTCATAATACACAAGGTGTAGGCCCTATTATCAAAATACTTCCACTGTCCAAAAGGTAGCGTTCACATGCAGTTAAGAGCAGGCCGATTTCCTATAGGCCTATTAGGGTACTTGTGCACAAAGCCCACTAACGGCCCTTGAGTTGTTTTGTTCCGGTCCTTTTTGTAATAGACTATTTCTTTCTGTTCTGTTTCTCCACAATAGATACCTCTATTATATTGTTCTGCCCGTTGACGATCTCATCTCCAATGCAAGCATGGCAGGAAGGATTAACCCGGGACATTACCACTTACCTTTGCCCTTTAACAATCGTGACTTGAATAAAGATGCTATTAAGAAGAAGTTGGATGACATTGAATCGGACTTGGAGGCTCGAAAAGGCCGAACAGAAGACTTCGCCATTCTCAACATTATCGGTCTTCTGAAATACCGCCTCGAACGCTACAAAGAGGCCGAAAAGGATTTTCGCGCCATTCTCTCTCAGGACAGCTGCAACCTTAACGCTTTGGCTAACATGCAGTTTCTGTTAAAGAAAGTATATAGGAAAGAAGAAGGCGGAATATTTCAGAGCAAATTAAATGCGTACCTAAGTGAATCCACGGAGGACTCCATCAGAATGAAAGCAAGGTGCCTAGCAGAGCAGGCATATGCTTATGCTTGCGATATGCACACAGATAACGCTGGTAGAGAACGATATACAGAATCTAGTGACATCTTCCAGAAGGCTCTTGACCTTGGTGGTGACCTGATAGATGCAGCAGAAATAGACATTTGGAAATTTTGCATGGCCAAGAATGCGCACAAGCTCTTCGACAAGTTCACATACGGAGAAGATTATCCCTAAGCTGTGCACTACATGGATACAGCGGTGAAACTCTTCCATGAAATAGCACAGAAAGATCCGGGAGATCCAGAGTACCAATGCGAAGTTTGGCGCCATTTGGGTGATATTTTTCGCAAGGTTAAAGTGAGGAAGCAGTTCCCCACTATCCATTTGCCGGACGACCTGAAAAAATTCTTCGATGATCCAGAGGAGTGCATGAGGAAGGCTCTCGACAATGCCCCATCAGACAGCAGAAGAGCTAAGATTTTGGCTCGCTACGCAAATTTCATCTCTTCCCTAAGACGAGACAATACCCGGGCACTACGTTTGCTGGATGAGTCCATTAGCTTGGACGACAGTGGCTATAATTTCTACGCTTTCAGCATGAGAGGAGCAGTCCGACTTAAGTTCTACAAATGGCAACTGCGGCAAGCAAAGGAGAACAGCGAAGGGCGCCCCCAACCAGATAAGAGTCTGCTGAAACTTGCGTTACGTGACATGGAGAGAGCAACAGAAATTCGCAATGCACCGTGGGACTTGTTACATATGGCTGAAGTCTATCACCGTTTGGTAGAGGACACAGATGAGCCAAAGAAGACAAAGCGAGAGTACTTGGAAAGGGAGTTTGAGTGCCTCACACGAGCCGACGATATTGAAGACGGCGGCAGGCCAACGCATGTAAAACGCCAGCTTGGGCGTTGCCTGTTCGACTTAGGCCACTATCGGGAGTCAATTGAACGTTACAAAGAAGCCATGGACGTGGAGACAGCCACTTCCGAGTACACTGGACACTTCCATGAACTTTTCCGCAGTTATCTCTGCTTACTACGAGGCGGCCCTAAGGCTGATGCTCCTTACGATGAGATGGTCGATTCCTTGAGACAAGCACTGGAAAAGTATGGAAGGAGCGCCCTCCTCAAATACTGCTTCGGCCCATTGCGCATAGAATACAAACACGAACTCAAGTTGTGCTCCGACTACTGCCGAACAATTCCAAACAACGAGGGTCTCCTGAAATTACTAACGGCAAACGAACCACCGTCCCTTCTTGGTCCACCTCCCCGTCCGGGAGGGTTGCTCAAAGACTCGTGGGAAAACCCAGGGAATCAGGAGGATAACGGAGGGGTCCACATTGGATATTCAGAGACCTCAAGACCCCAAGACATTGAGACCTCAGACTCCAAGTCCTCTGATTCCTTGAGTGCATCATCTCGACCATCTCCGTGCCTGAATGAAGCCAGTAAAGGAGCAACCTCCTCACCCGATGATGGGCTCGAGACACCAAGCGAAACCGCAGCAGCAGGCGCGGCTGCACCATTAGAGAGCGAAATCAGAAGTTTGACCATAAATGAAACGTCATTTGGAGAAACCTCAGAAGACACCCTGGATAAAAAAATCCAGTATGACTTCTTCGTGGTATATGCCAGGAGTAGCGAGGAATGGGTACACGAAGAATTGCTTCCCAAGATGGAGGACAGACAGCTGAAGGGATGTACAGGCAGCGGAGATGGTGTAGCGGGTTCCTTCGTCATCTCGAGCGAGATTGAATTAATGAGTAGTAGTGCTTGTATCTTGTTTGTCATCACAGATGACTTTAAGAAAGATTGCCAGTTTCTCATGCACCATGCCCTGGACCTTAGGAAAGGTGGTCACGCCATTTTCCCCATTAACAGGGATGGCTCAGCACCGCCGAAGGAGCTAAAAATCTTTCGAGATTTCTCTGCAAGCCAGGAGGGAGAAGTTTGGGATAAACTAGCTCAGGACATCAAGTGTCAAAGAGACGTAGCCAGAGAAGCTTTGATTAAGCATGTGCCAAGCTGAAAATAATTATAATTTCCCGTCAAAATGCGAAACAGTACGAAAGTCTAAAATGTTATTTCCCAGTTGCGCTTAAACGCGAGTGTATCCTACGTTGGAGGTCAGACGTTTGGAGGGATGTACAGGCCACGAAGATGGTTTAGCAGGTTTTTTCGCCATCAAGAGCGAGCTTGAATTGATGAGAAGCAGCGTCTGCATTTTGCTTGTCATTGCCGAGAATGAGTGTGGGTTTCAAATGCATCCTGCTCTTAATCTCTAGAAAATTGGTCATGCCATTATCCTCGGATTCGCAGGGACGGATCGGCGGTACCGAAGGAGCTTAGCGATGTCTTTTGTTGCTTGGATGCCACCAGTGACATAATACGTTGGGGAAAATGAGCTATAGACATCAAGCGCCAAAGAGATATAGCCACGAGGGCTTTGCACAAACATGTCTCTAGTAGTAAAATCGAATCCCCATCAGACAGAATTTTCAAATAGAAGGCTAGGGGGGAAAAAAGAAAGAAAGAAAGAAAAAATTGCAAAAAAAAAGGCTCCTGGCTAAAAATATTCCTCCTGTTTAGGTTGATTAGGGTCACCAATTGGCTATAGCTAATCCGTAATCCTTACTCGGACATGCGCATAATGCATGTATAAGATCAAGTGAGCAAGCGGCCTACACAGTTTGAGATTGGGACTGTGTGGTCAGGGACTGCAATTACTCCAAATTTGACATAT